TATCTATCTATCTATCTATCTATCTATCTATCTATCTATCTATCTATACAATAGATGATGGTTAGCATGTACAGCATCATTTGGTGACATATCCACCCATCCATCAGTTTTCATCCACTTATCGGAGTTTGGGTCGTGTAGGAGAGGGGTTCAGGTGTGACACCCAGACACCCCCCTCCCCAGCCACACTCACCTGCTCCTACTTCGGTATCCCAACGTGTTCACAGGCCAGATGGAAGTCTAGTGCTGGGTCTCCCAGTAGGATGTGTCTCGAAACCAGCATGGTGAGGCGACCTGGTGGCCAGGATCCCCCCAAATGACTTTTTTTGATGTGGAGAAGCAGGGGCATCGCGAACAGGATCGGCAGGAAAGGGATTTGATTTGGTGCCAAGAACAGGGACACAGCTTTTGCTTTGTTGTGGCTGTGAAAGCAATCCCGCAAAGCCTTATCCAAGTCTACAACACACATATGGATTCAAACTCCCACGATCCCCTTAGCCATTCTGCAAGCGTAAAGTTGTGGTCCACTGTTCCATGTCCAAGGAAAGGCCTCTTTGAAAGGGAACATCCTGAAGCTGGGGTTTGACAATCGTCTCCAACACCCTGGAATAAGCTTTTCCAGCCTGGGAGGCTGAGTGGTGGGATCCCCTTGGAGCTGGAACACAGTCTCTAGTCTCTCTTCTTAGAGATGGGGATCTGGGACGTTTTTTAACAACTTCAACGACTTCCGCCATGGAAATGAAGGAGTCCTTCTTCTGCCTCCTCAATCAAAGACATATTAGATTGAGGGGATCCTCTAAGTCTAAGAGCTCCATCCACTGCCAGCTAAATATTCTCAGGAACTCTCCATCCCGGTCAAGCACCTTGGAAGGTCCCTGATTTTCCTTTTTGAGTCCTTAAATGGTTTCCCGGAAGATCCTTGAGGCTACACAAAAGTCCTTCTCTTATGGTCACCTCGTCCTTCCCACACTTTAGTTTTAGCTTCAGCCACTGGGGACCTTTTGGCTGAGTCACCCTGGGACAATAAGCCCGACAGGTCTCCTTCTTCAGCTCCACGGCTTCCACCTCTAATGGGGTATGCCAGTGGGTCCTCAAGTTACCGGCAGCCTTCAAGCCAGCTCCTGGAAGCTGCATCCACAGTGGAGGTCCTTAACATGGCCCATTCAGATTTCATGTCTCCATCCTCCCTCCAGAAGTGAGAATAATTCTCCCTGATATTTGCACTGAGGATCTAGTGAACAGGAGGCTACACCAGATGTTCCTGGGTTACCTTCACAACACCTTTGGGCTTACAGGGTCTGGTTTCTAGGTGTCCTGGTTTCCATAACATTTTTTCCTCTTTCCCTTTTGACTGAGGAGGTCAGGTCCTTAAGAATCCTGCTAGCTCTGGTCTAGAATTTCTAATTAGGTAAGTAAGTAAATGTCCTGGATGATTAGAAATTGATGCCGCAGCAGCATTTTGCTGCATGGATCATTCTCTGGAGGGCGTTTTATTTCCGTACACCGCTATTCCAAAACCAGGAATCAGCATTCCCTGAAAGGATGCTCTCCACGAGGCATGAATAGGAAAAAACTGAGTGGAAAAACATAGAATCAGAAGAAAACAAGACTTCTTAAATGACTGATGAGTGGAGTGAAACTTCACAGTTCTCACTGCAGCTGTCTGCCACTGATGAAGTCCAGTAAAGTCAACCCTGTGCAAAAAGGTACTAAGTACTACATTCTGGTCAGAAAGATCTGTTCACTCTGGTCCAGCAGTACTGGTTTATGATTAAAAGAAAAATCACAATCTGCCACCATCTAGTGGTAAGAAGATGAAGCCACACTTCTATTTTACTCACTGCATTTCCTGACTGATTCAATAACTTGAATGACTGGGTGAAAATCTGCTAATCCTCCTTCCAATGCAACATCATACCTTGAGACACAGACATAATGACTGAAGTGGAATTAACAGCATAAGAAATTAAAATAAGGCTTTAAACTGAGTGTTTCTACAAGCACATCCTCTGAATTACCATGTAAATTTAGGGGAAATGTCACACCATAGAGCAAAACTATCAGAGCTTTAAGGAAAGTAAAAAGTCTACTCACATATGTAACAATGGAAGTTTTTCCCATATTGACCATGCAGTTACTGTTCACCTTTTACATTGACGCCGTGAATAAATCTAAATCATGATGTGATGTACTGCAGCAGACATCAAACTTTCTCTCAAGGAGATGTTATACTAGATACATAAGTGGAT